CATGCAGCACGTGGTAGCTATATTCTCGAGAAAATGGGAGTTCAAAGTTTCAGAAGGAAGAAACTAAAAAGAATTAAAAAGCCCCCTTGAGTTAGAATAGTTTCTTGATTAGGCTCTTTTATTCTTTCCTTGTAAAGGGGAGAGTCTCCCTTATTTATGTTTTCCTAGAATTTTGTATTAAGAGGAGTCCTCTACTTAGGTGCATAGTTCTAGGTTTTTCCTTTATAGTATGGGTATGAGTTGACTAACCTTAGTAGGTAGGTCGACTTATGACTCACCATAGGATCGGAGGTTAGGTTTATGTCCCCCTCCTTGTATATTTTTTTTGAGCTCTTTTGAACTTTTATTTATGTTAAGGCCTGGGGGTGTTGCTAAGCCCCTGACCCCCCCAAGGGTCGTTCAAATAAAAAAAAAAAAAAAACCTTAAACCCTAAACCCTAAACCCTAAACCCTGAACCCTGAACCCTGAACCCTAAACCCGATCGCTTTCTCATTTCTCAATTTTTTTCTCTCTCTAAAAAAATTTGCGCTCAAATTTGCTTTCACCAGGTGGAAAAACACAGTTCACCGGAATGGCCATAGAGCCGCCGGGGAAGCAGCTCCGACCACCGGAGCAGTCTCAATCGACGCGGAATTCCAATATGAACAAACCCCAACCGGGCGCTTCATCAGATTCATCAGACAACTCTTCGAAATTGTGAAAGATTGAAGCGATCCACGTCGCGATTTCTGAAGAAGAGTTGGACTGGGCTCGAAAAATTATGTCCCTAGAGAAATCTGGGATGATTCGTGTTAATTCAACTGGGAATCATGAATCTACATCTAAAGATCTACCTACAGTCCAAAAATCAAACGAATCCATCGCACAAATCGAGAGATCTATGAAGGCGATTTCTGGAGAAAATGTCACGAAATCGCCAGATGTGCGCCTCCAAATTCGAACAGCTTCTGATGAATTAAATGAAATTTCAAACACAGGGGAATCATGCCCAGGCCAAGGAGTTCACCCTACTGAAATCTCGAATCAGTTTGAC